TCGAAAGAAAGCAACAAAAGGCAAAAAAGCAAAGTGGTGAGTATGTGTGGACTTCACGGATTTGAACAAAGCATGCCCGAAGGATTCATTCCCAATGCCACACATAGACGTATTGGCTGACGCAACTGCTGGGCATGAGATGCTCTCATTCATGGACGCCTTCAGCGGATATCACCAGATTCAGCTGCACCACGATGACCAGGAGAAAACGGTCTTCATTACTAAAACAGATACATACTGTTATATTGTCATGCCTTTTAGTCTTAAAAATGCTGGTGCAACGTTCCAGAGGCTCGTCACTATGATGTTCAAGGACCAGATGAAAAAGACCATGGAGGTCTACATAGACGACATGATTGTCGAATCAAAGAAAACTGAGGATCACATCAATCATCTGGCGGAGTCATTCAAAAAGCTAAGAGAGTACAATCTGAAGCTCAATCCGGCGAAATGTACTTTCAGAGTGTCATCAGGAGAATTTTTGGGCTACATTGTTAGTGAGGGCGGGATACAAGCAAGCCCTGAACAAGTCCGGGCCATACTCGACATAGAGTCCCCCAAGTCTGTCAAAGACGTTTAGAGGTTGACAGGACGAGTTGCAGCGTTGAACCGTTTTATCTCCAAGTCGTCCGACAAATGCCGGTTGTTCTATGATGTGCTGCGCCAGAACAAAAGATTTGAATGGACGGACCAACACGAACGAGCGCTTCAGCAATTAAAGGAATACATGATGACTCCACCATTGCTGACGAAGCCCAAAGACGGCGAAGAACTGCAACTTTACGTAGCCATTTCAGAGCACGATGCCAGTGCCGTATTGACCAAAGAAGAGGACGGACAACAAACGCCGGTCTACTACATAAGTAAGTCCCTAAATGGCCCGGAATCCAGAAATGATAGAAAGAATTTTGACTTTATACAAAGTGATTATATATATAGAAAGTCTGGAATCCTTTTTTGAACACGCCAAATTTTGAGTCGGTAGACAATTATTTGAATACAATCCAGAAATGGACCTAAATTGTCTACAAAAGTATATAGAAAGAATAATCAACGTTCCCTACCTTTATCTTTTACTCTTGTCTTTACCTTCGCGCAAATTTTTGTATTTTTTTCAAAACTGCTTATGAAATTCTTCTTGTTTATTTCCTCCATTGTTGGGACTTGAGAGTTAGAGCGGAGTAGACACAGGTGTTCAATTGTAATTACAATCCTTCTTTCTTACGTAGTACAATATAATTCTCAACAATCTATATATGTTCTACAATATATTCTTACGTACTGTTACTTCAATTATCTTGCTATCGAGCGGGCTTCAATACCAAGAAGGATTAGTATAATACTATAATATTGTATCATTTTTCATCTTCCTTGTGTCTTCATATCTTAATAATCATTCACAAACAAGTGTGGGGTTCTTGTGCAAGAATAATCTCACCACATTAACCTTGACAATAAGAATCACTTAAACGGTATCTAATTCAAATGAAACTATTGCAATAGATCGGAGTCAGAAACAATATGAATTAACATTTTATTGGAATAAGAATAAACACCTAAATTGCAATGCATAGAACTAAAGTTAATTAATTGGTTAAAACAATCAATTACCGGATAAAAGATTTCTGAACCATAACAAAATGATTTGGTCATTTGTATTTCTAATAAAATATGGTTGCAAAATACTACTACCTCCACCAGATGAAAATATGGTTACAATATACTACTACCTAACAAAATATTTCTAAAAAATGACACTCTTAATCAGAAAATAATTAAATAAGATAATTCAAATATATTCTTAGAAGTAATTTTGATGTGTATATAACATAATGAAGTCATTGATGATTATTGTGATTTTACAGGGGTAGTCAATATTTTATGTTTAATTTGTCATTTAAGAGTGTTAACTATTATCTAAAATAGAAATGATTTTTTTGGCTAGGACGGGCAAAAAAATACAAGTGAGAAACTTAAGCTGGGACAGAATAATAATAATAGTTAATATTATAAATAATGATATATTCCGTATATAATTAAAATAGAGATGACATATTGAATTGTGACTTTATACAATTATATATGGTAGCTTTTACTGAGTATGCATGTGTTTAATTTTACATTGATGTGACCATGCAGTTATACTTATTCTAAATTTAGTGACATTTTTGTCTATCAATTTTATTTCAATAATATTCCAACTTTCATATGCTATATATACATATGTCAAGTTCATTTTACACTAAATAGAATTTAAACATAGGAGCATTCCTTATATAGGACTTCATATTTTATTTTCCTTAGATATGACTTCACATTACATTTTTATCTTTAATATAATTAATTGTCCCTAATTTCCCTAGCATATCCAGGGTAGTCCATCGGTGGTTGTAATCTGGAAACAACGGCAACACTCCGGCGGCGGTAACAGACAATTGATTTCCTTCTACCGGCGGCGGCGGCCAATTCACGCTTAGAACCTTTCAAAACACAAATTAAAATATTGTACCAAAATATTTTCTAGTAGGTGTGAACAAAAAAATCAAATAATTGAAATAGACCGACAACAGATCAAAACCGAACCTAATGAAACTGAAATCGACTAAAACGGACCAACCCCTCAGTCGTTCAATTTACGGTTTATGCTTTTTGTTCAAAAACTCGATCCAACCGACAAAAATCGAAATAATTGACCGAAATTAACTGAAACGGAACCGACTAAAACCGACACAAATTGTGCGGTTCAGTTCTCAGTTTCACATTTTCTAAAATTGACTAACTAAAAATCAAATCCATGAAACCCGACGAGTATCTTTAATTTTTGCTGATAATATAGGGGTCTTGACAAAAATATTACGAACAAGTGAGCTATGGATAAAAAAAGAGTCATTTTTTATATTTTTTCAAAAATGGAACTAAGCATGCATCAAGGATGTTTTTACTTGAACTAAAATTTTCTGATCTGGTTTGGTTTTGGTGACCTGTTACACTCTGAACTTGTCTCATAAATGTATGGTCTCTGTGTATCTTACAAATGTTAAAGTCTGGTCTGGTATGATAAATGTATGGTCTCTATGTGTTTTACAACTGTTAAAGTCTGACCTGATCTGTTCTGATGTAGTCTGATCTGAGACCTAAACTAGTCCAAGTAATAACTTCATAAATCTGGAAGCTCATAAAGTCATTTTACTAAATTACCCCTGCTATTACCCAGTGATTACCATTAGAGCATCTACAATGCTACAATGTGCACGGTTGCACATGTGGCATGAGATATAACCACATAAATATTAGTGAATAAATTCTTTCTCTCCTTATTTAAATGATTTTATACAGTTTTGGTAAGTTTTTCTCCACAATGTCAAGGAGACCGTCTAGATGTTGACATTGCAGGAAAAAACATACCAAAATTGTATAAAATGATCAAATAAGGAGAAAGATAATTTATTTGCTAATATTTTTGTGGCTATTTCTAATGTCACATGTGCACCGTGCACATTCTAGCATTGGAGATGCTCTTAGATCAGATGAGCGTCAGAATGGTGGGTTAGCCACTTTCCCTTTAAATAAAAAATTGTTGTTCCAGTTAATTTTCTCTCATCTACACAACCTTCAACCACACAATTTGTATTTTATTAATTCTCGCACTGGTCAAACTTGGCCAAGTTGTAAGGGACATAAAAAGTATTTTTTATCCAAAATTCATTACTAAATAGTAAAATTATAATCCAAAATTAAATACTTCATACTTTTGATTAAGAAAAGTTAATTTTGTTTTATGAGAACTGAGAAGGAGATAAAAAAGGATGTGCTACAACTCCTTCCGTATTTTTTAGTTTGCTACAATACGTTTTGACACATTTTTTAAAAGTAAAATAGTAGGGATAGTGAATAGTGTAGATAAAGTAGAAGAGATGATGGAAAAACGTGAAAGAGAAGATAAAAAGTAGAAAAAATAAGTGTAGTTGAGTATTTTTAAATGAAAAACATACCAAAAAGTAAAAATGTAGCAAAATTTTGAATACATAAAAAAAAAAGTGTAGCAAACAAAAAATACGGAGGAATATTATATACGGACTTGCGGAGTAGTAAAGATAGAAAAAAAAAGCTTTTTTGTACAAACCAACACTATATCATGCACATGCCACTCTTGGTGTACATAAGATGTACACAAAATGTGTACATTGCCTGTGTACACAAACAATTTGACATCAATCCCTGCCCCTTTTTAAACGAATTGCATGTCTACACAAGCAACTAGGAAGATTTTGTGTACAACTTGTGTACACTAAGGATTTTCCATCATGCACGCTTTTACGCAAGGAAAATTCTTAATGTACATGAGTTGTACACAAAACCCCTATAGTTGCATGTGTACACAGATAATTCGTTTAAAAAAGGCATGATTTGATACAAAAACCTCCATAATTGTCTCTGTACACAGATAATGTACACATTTTGTGTACACCAAGAACGATCCCTTTAGGCAATTAATGAAGGTTTTTTTCGTCTGTCACGAAATAAACATATTTTGTGTGTGAGGAAAGTTCATGTCCGGAATTCCGGACAGGAACCGCCGTCCGGACGGCGGCGTTTGGCCGCCTTCCGGGTTGAATTTTTTGATAAAATTTTTATGGCATGTTCTCCATCAAGTCTAGTTTATCCACAAAAAAATTCAGTCAAAAACTCAATCGGGAAGGTCGTCAAATGATTTTTGCAAGCTAACTGGTCCGGAAAATACATATTCCGGACCAGTTAGCTTGCAAAAATCATTTGACGACCTTCCCGAATGAGTTTTTTGCTGAACTTTTTTGTGGATAAACTAGACTTGATGGAGAACATGTCAAAAATTTTTATCGAGAAATTCCACTCGGAAGGCGGCCAAACACCGCCGTCCGGACGGGGTCCCGGTCAGGAATTCCTGACCGGAAGAGTACTCTTTTGTGTGTTTGTTGTGTGTATATATGTCAGCCAAGCAGGTGGTGCATCGCCCTATCGAAACGCGCGCGTACATACGCACTGACAAAGCCAGCTGATCACTCTTCGCTTCCCTCCTGCTTTGCACGCACTCACGCACCATATCTCTATCGGAGAATCTATAAAGTTCACGCCTTTTTCGTCGTTGAGTCACCGAGTGACTCAGTCCTCCATGGCTGAACAGTCGAAAACTCGAAGCGATGACCCTTTCTTGCTCAAGTATACCGCCAACGAACTCCGGACTGTCTCCGAGTTCGTCACCAATTGGGCACCCTTTCTATCCCGAGGGCTCTGCCACTCATGTTGTGTCACCATCTCCGATCGCATCCGATATCTTCATCAAGGTTATCTCTTTCTCCCTCTCCCTCTCTGCGATTCATAAAACATGTCTCGGTGCATCTACAATACGCATACATGAAATTCCAGCTCACCAGTTCTGTACGAGCATGAATGAATATACTGTGCCCATGATCATGAGCTTAGACTCTCTAAAAACTGGCAATTTTGCAGGTTATTTATTTATATGATCTCATGTTAATTGCTTATGGATTTATCGATGCTTTTGTTACAATGGCTGTAGAAGCTGGTAGAGATGTAGTATGCGCCGAGCATAAAGAGGATGTTGCAGAGTCTACATCAGGCAATAAGGGTTTGATAGGAGATTGGAATCAGGAAAATTGTGACACTCATTCTATTGGGAGCTGGAATAATGCTTCGGACATGAATGATCATGCTGACACACATTCACTGGGGAGCTGGAAGGGGGAGGAAGAAGGGTCTCCGGAGGCCTTTTCACAAGCGGGTATCTATACAGATGTACCATCAAAATCCTCTGGCGCTGGCATGTTAAAGAGTGAAAATTTAAGCACGCATGTGTTGGTGGGAATCCCTTTTAATAGCTTTTCTTTGTCTTTTTGGTCAATTCATTGTCATACTTAATTTTCTTTTTAAGTGTCCTGCTTTGAATTTTTATGAGGCTTACTCTAATATCTAAGTGAATTTGGACCAATTTGATACCTAGTACTTTGTATATTATTAGATCCTGGTTTGGTTGTGTTTTGTTTGCCTCGTGGGTGACCATGATTGGGAAGCTCTTTAGGTGCTAGGTTGACTCATTTGTCCACCCTTCGCTTGTCCAACCAGGTTTAGCTTGAGAGCTGTGAGTTAAGTGTTCCATATTGGATGTTTGATGAATTCCTGTCTAATATATAAGTGTGAGATGAATCTAACCTCTTGAGGATCTTCTTGGGGTAAGTTAGGTCCCATTACTACCCTTTTTGCTAACTTTTTGCATGAAATATCAGCAAGGGGTGAAAATGTCATGGGCTGATATGGCTCAGGAGGATGAGCTAGAGACCGAGGAGTGTGGTTTAAGTTTGACATTGACCAATGAGAGTGGTTTATCTTGGAAAGAGGGAGCGTTTGAGCACGATGAGTCTCATAAGCCAAAAACCGAGCTTTCAAGAGAACAAAGGGAGTGCATCCGGTTTAGCAATGTGAAGAGAAAGAAGGATTTTATATGTTTGGAAAGGATTGATGGGAAGATTACAAATATACTGGATGGATTGGAGCTACATAGCGGCATTTTCAGTGCAGCTGAGCAAAACAGGATTGTCAATTATGTGGAAACACTCCATGACAAGGGAAAGAATGGGCAATTAAAAGGTTTCATATTTAATTTCTAGTTCTGGTCAAGAATTTTTAATATGTTACATATCTTCTGAAAGTTTGAGCTGTTTGTTACCGTTAGATCCCCGAATTGCAGGTCTATTGATATATTATAGAATGAGTTAATTGGTTATCTGTAGGTACTAAATTATATAATCCCCCCTCCCCCCCTCCCCCCTCCTAAAACAAAATAGTTCTTAGATTAGCCAATGGATAAGGCCATATTGCTGGCTGGTGTGGTGGTGCTATTTGGAGTAATCCAAGTGTCTTTATTTATCATTTCTTTTTTTAGGTTGTTAAATCGGCCTTAGTTGTCATTTTAGTATCGAGTTATCTGAATAAGTGCTAAAAAGTACAGAGTACTACCCCATGATAGGTATGAGATAGCCAAAGAAACGAGTAAGTATTTCATATAAGCCTTTCGTTCCTTTATATGAAAAACTGCAAAGGGTGAAATCCCTCCCGGGGCCCCATTATAAGCCTAATGGGAGAAAGCGTTACTGATTACGCGACCAACTAAAAAAGTTGTAGGTGAGGCAGAACGCTGATATTTATTAAGGCTGATAATATGAGTTTTACATCACCATGCTTATATAGATACACTATAAGCATTCAAAATAGATGAAGTCCAAATGTCCAATTAAGCTGCGGTTGTTGCACCTTAGTTCCTGTTACCTCAATGAGCATGAGTAATCATTCGCCGGAATTACATTTTTCTTTACTTATCTACTTCACAATGAAGACTGTTATTGTTACTTCTTTGTTTGGATGGATGGAGATGCTGAGCATATGCTGGTTTAGTTTACTGTGTTAGCAACCTAATGTAGTAATTGGGTGCTACAAATCTACTTGGTCTCGTGTTCATACTGTTGTAGAAACAAAGACAAGCAGATTTATTCTATACTCAATAAGTAGACTTGTATTTTTTACTGAATATAAAAACATTATATATATTCTTTTTGTTGACATGATTATGCATATCATATTTTCACACTGAATTCCTATAAAACTTTCCTGGTTTCTTGAATGTTGCGTTGTAGTGGTTGAAATTCGGTAGCATAATAGTTTCCTATTCTTATTAGGTTTGCCAGTTTATGGTTTAGGTTTGACATTCCTATTGTGTTTAGGCTCATCATTTATGTATATAAGCATTGCAATAGTCTTTCGAAATTTAAAAGTTTTTAAGTTAAAAATCATATCAATAAAAGTAGTAGTTTTTTATTCAACAAATCATCATTGGCCTTGAAACCCCTCAACATACTTGTGAATAAGCCTTTAGGTATCGTCAACCCCACCCCAAATGGTCTGTAGTATGTTTCCCGCCAGCATCAAGCAACTTGGTTCTTTTCACTACAAATTATAAGGTAGCTGTTGTGGTGTGCATCAGTTAACACCATACCATTTTGCTGTAGCGTTCTGTTTATTCACTATATGTAATAAGGATGGCTGAGTATCTGCTTGGTATCAGCACATAGTACTCTCTTGGGTCTTTATTATATGGCACCTTTTAAAAGGAGTTAATGGTCTTTTGTATTAGCCATGTTTTTTGTATGTAGTACTAAACTTTTTTCATGAGTTGCCCCTAATATTTATTGTGTATAGTCATTTTAAAGAAGTCTTCATTTATGTGTCTTCAATTTTCGCAATATCATTGTTTAAATTTAGAATACTACATAAGTTCGGTATCGCTTTCGGTTTTAGTTTTTTGTTTTATGTGAGGCAAAAGGGTCAAATTGATCCTTCTACTATTTTCATTCCATCACATAAGCCCCTATTTTGCTTCCTTAAAGAAATCGATCAATCTGGCCATTTAACCGGTTCTTGACCTATAATAGCAGGGTCTCTATGTTAAAAAAGTTTAAAAATTTGTTAAGTTCGAAGAAATTTAAATAAAAAGTACAGACACTTAGGAATGGCTAAGTCTGTATTTTTCATTTCTGGAATTATTTGTATATTCTACATCTTTCTAAAAGTTATTACATTTTGATTTTTTTACACTTCCATTTAATTATTTTCATTTTTCTATTTTTATTTTTATTTTAACATGTTAAAATTATTTATGTATTTTTTCACTTATACTGTTTTTTATATTATTATAGAATTATTTTTCAAATTTATATGAATTTCTATAAGATCAATCAATTGTTTTAATCATTGTTTTTAAATAACCTGCTTGCTATAGCAGGTTAAAATGGTTTAGATGTGTTTTTTAAGTAAATGTACATATATGATACTATTTTTAGTACACGGACTTAAATGATAGATCGGAAATAGTATAAGGGCCTATTTGACCCTTTTTCCCTTTATGTTATTAAAAAGTATAGCGATATAAGTTATATAAAGAACTAAATTAGTCATACTTATACTATTCATGTTGATTTTGAATACTTGAAACAACTTTTTTTTGTTTTCAGAATTATATTTTTCAAAAAAATTGCAGAAAATGATATTGGTTTGTGTAATTTAGTGAATTGTGCGTTAGTAAGGAACAATGAGAGTAATCTTTTAGGCTATTTTCCATAAGTTTCATGTCTGATGGAACTATTTAAATATTTTCTTTAATTTGCTGCTATTTGTCCTCACTTCTAATATTGTGGCACAGAGAGAACCTATACTGCACCAGAAAAGTGTATTGGGGGTAAGGGGAGAGTGTCATTACAATTCGGTTGCTGCTACAACTATGCAAGTGTAAGTAATTCATTTTATGCAAACTTTGAGACACAAGCTGAAATTTTATGCCTGTAATTACAAAACATGACCTCTAGGGAAGGGTGTTCCTTGTTTTGTAATTTCACTATCACTCCTAATCACTGTGTTTGGTAGAGGAGGAATTTAGTAAAAACAGATGAAGAGGAGAGGAAAGAGGGAAAATTTATCCAAATTCAAGGAAAACGCCTCATGCCACCTCGCTAATTTTAAAACAAAGATTTCCATAGTTTGGTAAAGTAGAAAAGGGTAGATTTTTTCAAAAAGTTTGTGCGCCTCACACCTAATTATTTCTTGCATGCTAAATTGGGAGAAAGTGAAGAGAGATTCCTTGGACTTTGTGACACCTAGAATTGAAATTGAATACCATTATTGTATAAGTTTTTTTTCAAAAATATTACTAGGTTTAATGCGGCATACCCCCTCTGATATAAAAAGTGTACGCATTCGCCCTGTGATTGAAAACTACATCTAAACTCCTTGTGTTATAATTAAGCATTCATGTAATTCCATGAAACAAAAAATCTAAATGCCGTGTAAAGCAGGCATCCTATGGTATTTTAATTATAATGGTAGTACTTAGGTGTCCAACAAACTTATATGCATAATTAATCATAACAAGTCTTGTTTTTTTGACAGTCTTTCTAGAGTATTACATGCATGTTTAAGTGTTTAACTGTAACACAAAGGATTTGCGCATTTTTTAAATCACGAGAAGCTAATGTGCAATTTTGTACTACATATATTAAAAGGGGATTTGGCACATCAATCAATAATATTGATAAAATAAAGATTATGACTGCATGGTCACCGCGATCACTTCGCCAAAATTACATGGTCATTGTGCATTAGGAATTGATTATTGTCCATAAGATCACATTATTTGTTATGAGTTTTTGCTTATTAATATAGGTTTCATAGTTTCTCATTATATTCAACTTTATCTTACCAAACTGCATTAATTCAAATGTTCTCTCTATTTCTACTCTATATATTGCTCTTGTCAAAATTTGACAGAGGAAGGCTTGCCCCTTACACACCACAACTACACCCTTGTAGTGAGACCCTTCTGGCCTTCCCCTAACCCTCGCATAACGGGGATGCCTTCATGTCCGAGGCTGCCCTTTTTATGTTACTCTTCTATCAAGTACAACATCTGTGTTTGCACATGGTCACTGCGATCAGTACACCAAAATTTAATGGTCGTTGCACATTAGGAAATGATCACTGCCTGTAAGATCAATTTTATTTAGTAATACACTTTTCATAATTTATTATTCTATTCATTTTTTTTAATACCAAACTAGTTTAATTCAAATGTCTTATCTCTATTTCTACTCTTTATATATTACTCTTCTACCAAACAAAACTTGTGCATGTATTTTCTTCCACTGAGGTTGGTGGAGCATCTCACCCTCCACGGAATCTACTTCTCAGTGGGACTTACGGGAGTTTAATTTCATAAAAAAGGTGAACCTGGTTGACTCTACAATTGAAATATGTTGATTGCAGGATACAAATGACACTCCACGCATCCTCAAAAATGACATCGTTGATCCTATACCTCAACTTTTGAAAGTCATGATTAAAAGGCTTGTCAGGTGGCATGTGATACCTCCTAACTCCGTACCTGACAACTGTATTGTGGATATTTATGAAGAGGGAGATTGCATTCCGCCTCGTATTGAAAGTCAAGATTTTGCTAGGCCATTATGTGCTGTTTCATTCTTAACGGAATGTCATGTCATTTTCGGGTCAAACTTGAAAGTGTTGAGCCCTGGTGGGTTTGATGGTCCAATTGCGATTTCCTTGCCTGTTGGGTAAGTGGATATGGTCTGCTCATCCCATTTCTATGAAATTGATGCTTCTAGATTATTAGTCATTAATAATGTCGCAATCTTTTCCGTTTTACCAAAAGAACTAATCATGACGAAATGTTTTTCCAGATCTATTCTTGTGTTGAATGGAAAAGTAGCTGATGTGGCTAAACATTGTGTTCCGGCAGTTCCTTCCAAAAGGTATATTCAAACTGTTTATGCCATGCTGTCACTATTCAATACTTTCATTTTCTTGTTGGAGTTTTTTTATTCTGGACATGAAAGATGAAAACTATCTAAAATAATTGAAACAAGAGTTAATTATCAAAATAGGACTAAAAGTCATTCACTTTGCACAAATAGGACCAAAAAATAAACTATGTTTCCATAGGACTAATTATGTTTGTCTTGGACAAATATACCCTTATACCTATTGGAATGTTTTAATTCATAATAAAATAATAAAAAATAATAAAAATTCGTAAAATATACCAAAAAATTAATAAAAATATTTTGAATAATAATAAATTTGAAAAAAAAAATTAAAAAAAAAAAATAAATAAATAAAAAATCAAAAAAATATTTTTTTTGTCACCGCCGCCTATACCGCCCCAGCACCACCACCTCTAGTCATTTGGGGAAAAAATGCCAAATTTATTATGAATTCCATATTTTTGGCATAATTCAGAATGATTTAAGATGGAAGAAAAAAAATGTTGGCATTCTCAAAGAGAAATATGCCATATTTTTGGCATTTTCCGAAAAAAATGGAAGTTTGTAGGAAATATGACATTTTTTTTTAACGGTCGGAGGTGGTGGTGCAGGGAGGCGGTACCACCACCTCCTGTCACCGGGGTAAAAAAATGCCAAAAAAATTATGAATGCCATATTTTTGGCAAAAGTCAAAAGGATTCAAGTTGGCAGAATGAAAATGTTGGCATTCTCATAGAGAAATATGCCATTTTTGTGGAATTTAAAAAAAATGGCATTTTTTTACACCGATCGGAGGTGGTGGTTCAGGGAGGTAGTACAGGCGGTGGGAAAGGTATCCATATTTTTTTATTAAATTTTTTTTTTCTTATTTTTTATTTTATAAAAATTTTATTAATTTTTTTTATTATTTTTCTACGAATTATTGAAATTTTTCGAATTTATTATGAATTAAACATTTAATTATGACTTTTAGCTATCTTTTACTAATATTTAAAAGAGGGGTAAGAATGGAAGGAAGAAATGAGTATGTTTCCAATAGGACCACTATGGTCCTATTTTGGAAAAAAAACATAGCAAGTCCTATTTTGAGTTTTTGCCATAGTTTTAGTCCTATTTGAAGTAATTTCTATTGAAACAATCCATCCAAGACTAAAAATAATTACTACCTCCATCCCATTTATATTGGGACGGAAGAGGGTGGCACGGTTATTAAGAAAAGTGGGTTTGTGTGGTTGATATTAATTGATAAAGTAAGAATAAAGTAAGAATGATTTAGAGCCATACAAACTTTGCCAAATATGGTATGGGACAATTTAAGTGGGACTTCCCGAAACGGTAAAACGGGACAATATAAATGGGACGGAGGGAGTATAAATTTTGAATTGTTCTTAATCTTTTACTTTATATATCCAACTTTTATCAAATTTAATTTTTCTTGATCAGGTATTATAAAACTTTTAATGCAGTTTCTGAATATGTAAATTTTATTTACTAAAAATAATCTTATTAATGACAAGGATCGGTAAAATTTATGATCAGTCAAACATCGTAAACCACGTGGGAACCTTTAAGTGGGACGGAGGGAGTATAAAATTTCATATATAACCCATCAAGGAATTATTATTGAAAGTTAACATAAAGATAATTAAAAATTTAAAAATACAGAATTCATTATTCTTCTAGTCTTAAATTTAATTTCAATTGCTAAGGCCATAACTATATAGTTTCAATCATTCAGGTCCTACATTGGTAGTTTTAATCTTCAAGATCCTCAATTGGTAGTTATTTAATCTTTGGGGGAGGTCCTGACTTCAGACAACCTTCCTTATTCAGTTATTCTTGATCAAGTGACATCACTTGATCTATACAGCTGACCCCGCCTAGAGTCACATGCCTGGGCTAGCCCACGTTGAGTCAAAACCTGAAATAAAAAGATTTTGATCTTTGTCAGTTCTTGAATAACAAAGCCACCAACACCAATTAGTATGTACCGTGCAGGATCTCAATTACATTTAGGAGAACAGCTGAATCCAAACAACCCGTTGGATATGTTCCGGATCCTGACTTGCAAGGTCTTCAGCCTCTATCAAATGAAGTAGACAAGTCCAAGAAATCGAAAAAGGCAAGGCATAGGCAGCATGATATGAAGAAACATGTGAGCGGCCGAGAGGAGAATGTTGGGGGGCAACCAAGAAGACCAATAGAAAGGGGCTTTGGAGAGAACAGGTACTCGTTGGGTCAATCCGATCAGAGGAACACGAGTAAGCCCAGGGTGACTGTGGATTTGGAAAGGTCAGCTGACCAATCTTATCGCCGAACTGTAAGATTTCACCGCCATCTTCCGTGAATGATGGCAGGAGCTTGTTATTATGTCACTTGTGTGGTGTGTTCTTTTAGTATTCCAAAGCAGTTTGTTAGTTTTTGGTGGGGTTGGGCATTTCAGTTTGGTTTTAAACGGTCATATTTTATTCGGTTTAGTTTTAATTGGTTTGGGATTTGTTTAGATTAATAGAGTTTAGTAAAAACAACCCCATTCTAAAACAGAAATACATATTATTCGGGTTTGAATTGAGTTGATCAAGTCAAACGGAATCAAAATGCCCACCACTAGTTTTTCTGTTTATGTTCTGGTTTGGGTAGGTTTAAAGGGTTGTGTTCTGGTTAAATTAGTTGTGGTCGGGTTCGGTTAATGCAATTTGGAGAACATCACCATACTACAACCAAATTACACATAGTTTGTAGTGCAGCCAAACTGAATCAAAATGTGACTCGGGCTTGCACGGTTGCACCGCTACATCATCTAGATGCATCCTTCGTGAAATTTTTAAGCAACATTTCTAAATTTTCTAGTTAGGATTTATGCCATACAGTTGGCTGAGTAGTGCCCCGTCCTGAGTTTGAGCTTGTGCCTGAGACATGAAATCTCTATGGTGGCAGTTCAGTCTAATGGTTATGGTCCCGATCAGGCACTATCCTTCCTAATTGGGTAGCATTGACCAAACCCAATCTTTTACGGCATTCTTAGTTCGCAGGGAATCTCTAAGATGAAGATTGCAAGCCATGTGAAAGTCCAATGTGGGGCAATTTGGTCGGTTGTTATAGTCTGTTGTATATTACGGCTAATAATTTGGTAAGACTGCTGTGTTATTTATTTATGGCTAAAATACATTTTTAGTCCCTGCAAATATGGCACACTTTGTTTTATGTCCCTGCAAAATATTTTTTTTGTTTTTCATCCCTGTAATATGCACCATTTTGGTTTTAGTCTTTCTAAAATTTCAAAACCACTCTACTCAGGAAAAAAATTATTTCCGGTTGCATAGATTTACTAGAAATATTTAAATTTGTCCTTTTATATTTTTTTTTATGCTAATATGAGAGTAAAAATAATTTAAAACTAAGTATTCACATTTTAAAAATATATATCAAAAGCCTTCAAAAAAATAAAAAAAAATATTTTTTAATAACATGACAAATTATTAGAGGAAATGTATTAGTCAGGGTTATTTTGAAGTCAATCAAAGGTTGTTATCATCAGTGATGAACTAAAACGAAAACTAGCATAAATTGCAGGGACGAAAAATAAAAAATTAATTTTGCGGGGATGTAAAACAAAATGTACTATATTTGTAGGGACTAAAAACATATTTAAACCCAACTACCGATTATTTCAGAATAATCTCAACCTTAGGAACCTTCTGCCAATAATAGTCCGACATGACCGACCATAAATAAATTCATATAATTTTTAAAGAGATAGCAGATAATCCTTATAAATAATCCCAAGCTTTAAATTTTATGTTTAATTTGTATTAAAAATTCACCTATTATAGCAGGTAATATGCGGTCATGGACCATTATTGGCGGATGGACCATTTTAATTTTTCCTAAATTAAAATTGATATAATATCAATTTTACTTATAATAATCACCCCTTATTCCAAAAAATGTCATTTCCTAATTATCATAAAAGTTACTTCTATTATTGAAACATTTTTGTCAGAATAAAAGGATTGTTAAATTTTGTCTGATTCACTTAATTATTAAAACCTCACTTTTCTAACATTTTATTTGACTAACAAAATTATCAATTTTATTTAAATTTTTCGGAGTGTCATGCCTGAACACGGATTTGCCCTAAAATTAACTCAGAGATGTAGATAAATATTTTAACCATAAGATTATAACTTTACCATTTGGACTTGCACAAAAATATGCAACTAATAAAACATTATTTTTTTATTTTTTATACATTGTTAATTTGTTAGTGTCTTATATGAAATTTGAGTCTTTGATATATATTTCATTAAAATTGGAATATAAATAAAATTGTTATAACACTTCAAAGTAAATTTGAAATTTTAATTACAAGTAGGTCCCACTTGAAATATTAACACTTCACAGCTTCACCCATACCCAACACTATTTATCATCATCCTCTTTAGCTCAAACTCTCTAAATAATACAGTATGTAGGGGAACCGGACCGGCCCGGGCCCGGTTGGCCGGTTCCGGGCTTTTAGCCCGTGTGAGTGGGTCGGACGGGCCGGGCTCAGGCCCTATATTTGTTGAACCGGCCCGGGCGGTTCGGGCCGGGTTCTTTTTTTTTTTCAATTTTTTTCTTTTCCTAGGGTAGGTCTGGGTGTTTTGGGGAGGTTTGGGGGGTGGGGTGAGGGGGGGGGTCGGGGGATAACAAGAAAGCAAAAAAAAAAAAAAACATTGAACCGGGCTCGGCCCGGCCCGGTTAGGCCCGGACCCGGTATTAACCCGGGCCGGTTCCGGGCCCATGTAATTGGAAAAAAAAGCCCGCCCGGCCCGGGTCCATCCCTGACAGTATGGGTTGTAATTATTGATCAAATTGTGCTTTCAGTCCTTCCAAAAATTCAAGACATTCATCTCAATCACAAGAAATCAAGCAAAGTCAGTGATCTATTCAGCAAAAAAATATGAAGATTCTGGAATTTCATATCTGGGATTTCCAGATCTGCAGCTGCCATCATCCCACTACTGTGTACCATCTGCCGTCGGCTGGATTATATTATTCCATCATTTTCATCAAACATTATGTGCACCAGATACTATTGCAAAGTATTCCAAAAACACATCCTCCTCCTGGTTGGCCTTTCTAAATAGCACATACTGAACATTTGCTAATTTCTAACGCTTTTGAGAAAGATGAAGAGGGAAACTGAAACTTACAATAAAAGGACTTTATATTCACGGGATCTGCATTGTTAATTCCAATGTGCACTAACGATGAAATATGTGTATACTTAAAAGTTAAAACACAACTGCACTTCCAATTGAACAAAAAACAACATACTCTTCTCATGTGTATATAACTAACAATGTATGTCACAAAACGCACACTTGGAACATGAAAGTACATAAATTTTACAATATAGCGTAAAATTTATGATCACTGACACCCACCCTCAAATCAGTATGTCTTCATCATTGCCACAAATTCTTTGAAGTTTATACGTCCATCCTATCAGACAGGATAGATGTCAGGTGATCCATTAACATCCAAGATTTGGATAAACACTGAGAATGAAGGGAGCATACCTTATCAGTATCAACTTCGCTCATGATCAGATTTATAATTTGGGCATCAGGTTCTCCTGATTTGGCTGCCAACCTTTCACGTAGGTCATCCAGTTCAATATAGCTGCTTCCATTCTTATCAAAGTGACAAAAAGCTCTTTGAAAGTGCTCGTCAATCTCCATCTTTTGTAGATGGATTGCCACTGCCACAAACTCCCCATAATCCAAGTAACCTTTCCCATCAATATCAGCCTGAGATTGCAAGCACCTACAATTAGTACTCACATACTACACTACTAATGTCATCAGAGAGGGGTGAGCCAATTTCCTACCGCAGCAAATTTTATGTCAAAAAAAAGATGTTGAGAGTCAAAGTAACAAGCTTGATCATGCTTTTGTCCAATAGCACTTCATAAGCAATGTAAACTATTCCATGATTTAGCACTTATATGTTAAGGGCCTTGGTACAGGATCTCGTCCAAGGCCGTTGATAATGAAAGACAGGATCTGAAGCTATGGTGTGGGAATAAAAAACCCTAACTTCCTGCCCTGGGCAAGGAAGGTGATCTCTGGCTCCACCAGAGAATCAAGAGATTAATTAATCCAAACTTCCCTTTATTCAAACTGATAAGCAATATATATAGGCAGAAATAAGTTTCCTAAATGATATTAGGAAACAGATCTAAACTATTACATTACAGACTCATTAATTAGAGACTGATAAAAAAGATGTGTATCATTACTCCCTCCGTTAGCAACAAGCTTGTCCTCAAGCTTGAAATCTGGAAATGTCTCCCGAAATATAGCATATTCTCCCAGGTGGCCTCGGCTTCCAGTTTACCCGCCCAATGTACCAAGAGCTCATACTGACCATTGTTGTGGCGAACCTTCAAAACAGCCAAGAGACGAACCAGAAGAGGTTCAGCCGCTAGTGGTGGCAGTTTACCCATTTGTGCCGGTGTGGGACAAGAGTGAGGTTTCAGAAGGGAGACGTAAAACACATTATGAATGCAGGTACCCGGTGGCAAAGTCATGCGGTAGGCTGCGAGCCCAATAGCTTCTGAAACTTGAAAAGGCCCAAAGAACTTTGGCAAAAGTTTGTGGTGACCACGGCTAACTGTGAGTTGCCTGTAAGGGTGAGTGCGTAGCCAAACCCAATCTCCTGGAGCGAATGTTACCTCACGATGACCTCTATCATACTGTAGCTTCATTCTCTGTTGACCTTGGGTCAGACGGCCTTCGGCAGCAGTGAGGATGGCATCGCGGTCGAGGAGCTCACGGTCAATGCTGTCCAGCTTAGCGATTCCAGGTGTATAAGACAGAAGCTTGGGTGGTTGTCTGCCATAGAAAAGCCGAAATGGAGTACCTCCAAGGGAGGAGTGGTAGGAAGTATTGTAGCAATACTCAACCCAAGGCAGCCAGCGTACCCAATCTCGGGGTCTATCACTTGTGAGGCAGCGAAGAAACATTTCAACGGTGCGATTGACAACTTCTGTCTGACTGTCAGTTTGTGGATGATAAGCAGATGAGAAAGCCAGTTTTGTACCGCTAAAGGCGGAATAATTCCCTCAAGAAAGTGCAGGAATATTTCTGTGACAATGGACTCGGGCAAACCATGAAGCCGGGTTATTTCTGTGAAAAAAACTGCAGGAATAGACGTGGCAGTGAATGGATGACTAAGAGCATGATAGGAACCCACTTATTGACTCATAAATAGACTAGTAGCTTTTAGTTAAATGCTGTAATAGATATTAAATAAAGTCAGTTGTTGGACTATTATAAATAGAAAGTTGGCTGGGAGGGTAAGGAGGCTTTTGGGACTTTTAGTCTGGGACTGGAAAAATTAGAGGATTCTTCTCTCTTCTCTTTTGGGAGGCTTCGGCCTAGGTTACTGTACTGTTCATCTTCTTCAATAAAGAATTTCAGTTGATTTCTTGTTAATTTTCTGTAATTGTTCTGGAATTCTGGAGGTTCTTATCATTGGTATCAGAGCATGTCGATCACTGGAGGAGATACACGCGCAAAGATGGAAGGACGAATCAACGAAGTGCAAGAGAATATGGAAAGAAGTCTGCGAGAGTTCCAGACTAATATGGAGGCGAGTTTTGCGGCGAGCTTTGCTGCGTTTCAAACAAGTATCGCTAATTTGGTGATTAACACCCAAAATCGATCGCGGAGCAGATCGCATGCGTCAAACACATCGCATCGCACTGTTCATCATCGCGACTCTCATCACCGCGACTTTCATCATCGCGACTCTCATCACCGCGACTCTCATCACCGCGACTCTCATCATCGACATACGCGACTTTCGACCGACGCAGATGAATTGGAAGAACAGAGTAGTCGCAGAAGAAATAAAGATCGCTCAAGGATTAATAAGCGTCATCCGCTATCGCAGGCAAAGTCGCGACCTGTCTCTTCTCAGAGTCCGCAGTCGCGAACTTCTCATCAATCGTCGCATAGTTCCTGGCACCGTTCTTCGCATATCTCTTCGCATCGTTCCTCTCCTCGCTTGTCGCAGAAGGAGTCGTTCACGAAATCGCGAACAGAGTCATCACCTTCATCTCGAACAATAGCTTCCAGTTCCTTGGTTTCTGTTGTTCTGAATTCTCAGGATGAGACACAATCGGTTTTTCCCAGTACTCCGGCGTCTTTTCAAATTGCTTCTCACAGTCCCCAGTTTCTACCACTTGGCATGGAGCTGGCTAGCTGGCAGCAACCTCACTCAGAAGATACTTTCATCTATGAAGACGAAGGAAGAGAGGTGAAATCTTCTGTCGTGACTCACCCCTCAACTGCCATGGACCATGAATACGGTGATGATAATTATAAAGTGGAGAATAAGGTTGTTCCGGAAATCTCTCTAGGTGGTGAATATTCAGCGGTACCTAATAGTATGGAAAAGATGGTTGGAAATATAGGAGTGGAACACTGCCCACTTGGAAGAATTGTTAATGTGTCTATCTCCTCTCTGGGGCTAATAAAGTTGGGGGCAGATCAAGACAGGGAAGTAAAGAGGTTTCAGGAATTCTTCTGTGATGGACTGTTTGGAAAACAGTTTACACGCGCATCAGGCCATAGTAATGAATGGGTGTACATTGATTGGAATGGAATTCATCCCTCTATTTCTGTTGGGAAATATGAGCTTAAAAATGCTGGGTTTAATGATGAGTTGTCTGAAGCTAACAGGTGGAATGGATTTCTCCATAGAAATGATTTGGATGCAATAGGTATGGATGATATAGAGCTGATCCACAGAGCCAATATATCAGCTGATAGAAATAGTGTGAGGGGTATGGTTGTGGTTGTTATCCCATCAGGAAGATTCTGTTCTAAATGGGAAGCTGTTCTGGGTTCATCCTATCGAATTCCATTTGAAGGAAGCACTGAAAAGGCCCCATCTACATATTCATCTGATGATGACTACTTCCACAAACAGAACCTTCTTAAGCGGCCTGGCAGTCCCACTTTTGATGCTACAAAGGAAAAAGTTTGTGATAGTATAAGCACTGTGTGTGGTAATATACCTCAAAAGAATCCCTGCAATATCCAGCAGCATAGAAGATGGATTATATACATGGTAAATGGTGTCCAGTGGACTAGAATTCAGTTTAAAAACACAGCAATTGGGATAGTTTTCAACGACTCTATTGATCCTGGGAAGTACAAGACAGATGCTGAAATTTCAAGGACTGGAGCAACTAAAATCCAAGAGCTTGAATCATATCATGAGACAAGAGTTGTTAACAATTGGAAGAGTGAGCAGCTGGTGATTGGGCAGATTGGTAAAATTCAATTCCAGCATGAACAGAGCCACCTGAATTATACAGATGCTATGAAAATAGGGGATCCATTGAGGCATTTGCTAGAAACAGTGAGAAGGAACATTCAAGTTATGAAGTCCAGGATCCTGAAAATTGAAAGATACTGGGAAGGAAGAGGCGCAAGGAAGAAGAAGAAGCAGAAGTTCTGGGTTATCTCCTACCGCCCACCTTGAGGACAAGGTGGTTGTTTAGGGCGGGAGTATTGATAGGAACCCACTTATTGACTCATAAATAGACTAGTAGCTTTTAGTTAAATGCTGTAATAGATATTAAATAAAGTCAGTTGTTGGACTATTATAAATAGAAAGTTGGCTGGGAGGGTAAGGAGGCTTTTGGGACTTTTAGTCTGGGACTGGGAAAGATTAGAGGATTCTTCTCTCTTCTCTTTTGGGAGGCTTCGGCCTAGGTTACTGTACTGTTCATCTTCTTCAATAAAGAATTTCAGTTGATTTCTTGTTAATTTTCTGTAATTGTTCTGGAATTCTGGAGGTTCTTATCAGAGCAAGAAAGTGAGCTGCCTTAGAAAGCCGGTCCACCACCACAAGAATGACTGATTTGCCCTGGACTTTGGGTAGGCCTTCAATAAAGTCCATTGAGATGTCCACCCAAATATGACTAGGAATAGGCAGCGGTTGTAGTAGGCCAGCTGGTTGTGCGTTAAGACACTTGTGTTTTTGACATACCTGGCAATCTCGTATATAGCTGGTCACCTCACGATTCATCCCTTTCCAGTAAAATTCCCGACGGATGTGGTTTAAGTTTTTTTCAACTCCTTCATGCGCCATTGAATGAAATATACATATTATGGTCGGAACTATGTCAAAGGATGGCAGCAGATATACATTATACCGATAAAACAATAGCCCCTCATGGTATTCCCATTCAGAACCCAAACTGCCACATTCAACTTGATGACGTAACGGGAGGATCTCCGGGGGCTCTGCTTGAGCCTTGCAGATGTTGTCCAGTATAGATGTATATGGAACAAAAAGGGCAGTAATGCATGCTTGATCTTCATGGCAGCGTGATAAGGCGTCAGCAGCAATATTGAGCTTGCCCGGTTTGCGTATCAGAAACTCTCGGCCCCATAGATATGGACGCGAATGTGTGACAGCTTTAGCTAGTCCAATAAGTTCACGTTCATAAGCTGCCAACATGATGTGTCTGGCAGCAATTTTGCGGCTAAAATATGCTATTGGATGTCCTTCGTGCTGCAAGACTGCCCCGAACCCGCTCCCAAAAGCATCACATTCAATAAGAAAAGGCTTAGTAAAATCAGGTAACTGGAGAACTCGGGCAGTGGATAGGCAATGCTTGAGATTATTAAAAGCCGATTCAGCTTCAGGGTTCCAGTTAAAACAGTTCTTCTTCAAGAGTTGAGTGAGAAGGGTTGTTATGGTGCCATAGTTCTGTATGAACTTGCGA